TCTATTTCAGGGGAACTTCATTAGATTCAAATGCACCATTTCGACATTGGTATGGAAAGCTTGTGGAATTAAAATCACTTATACTCGAGAAAACACCAGTAGGAGTTTTCACAGCAACTGCAACGAAAGAAACAAAGTTGTTGATTTTTGAAATGCTTCAATTGCATGCTGCAAAAACTTTTTGTGTAGAGAAGAATCCAGTTCGACCCAATATAATGTACATATTTGAATATGTCAATAAGAATAAAGGCTTAGATGAGATATTTCAGCCAATCATTGATGAGGTTTTACACTGTAAGACCCATATGAAAAGGACAATTATATTTTGCCAAACAAAAAAACAGTGCTCTATTTTATTTAGAGCATTTTCAATTTCATTGGGGGAAAATTTTTTTGCCAGTAGTGAATTATTGCCAAGTAACCGATTAGTGGACATCTTTCATGCAGGAACCCCAGAAAATGTGAAATCACACGTTATTAATCAGATGGCCAAATCAGAAAGTTGTTTGAGAGTACTCATTTGCACAGTTGCATTTGGGATGGGCATAAATTGTAGAGGTTTGTACAGAAGTATTCATCTGGGTCCTCCAAAGTCAATGGAAGCATTATTGCAGGAGACAGGCCGGCTTGGAAGGGATGAAAGTTCAGCAACATCTTATGTGCTATACAATGGTATCCTAAATACACTTTGCAATATCAAAATGAAAATTCTCCTACAGCATGAAATGTGCAGAAGAAGAGAAATTGGAAAACATTTCAATGCATTTTCTTCATTGGAGATGCCAAAACAATGTATGTGTTGCGATAACTGTGCCATGGATTGCAACTGCAGTGATCAGTGTCTTAAAGGTGACAGCAAGTTTACCTTGTTCTCTAAACAAATGGAAACTGAACTACCATTACCAAAAAGAAAACGAAATGTCACAAAAGAACAAAAAGAAGAACTGACCGAAAAACTTTACAATTTAAAGACGGAAATAGAAGCTGAGTTAGCAACTGTAAAACCTGTTGGAACCACAAGTGTCAAATTTGAATTTTGCAATTTTCAAGTGCACCAGATAATAGCTGAGTGTATGCACATCTTTTCTATTGAAGACATATTTCTGTATGTAGAAATCTGGCGACGAAATCATGCAGTACAGGTCTTACACCTTTTGTATGAGACTTTTCAAGATTTTGAAATAAATCTACAAGATATCAGTTGTAGTGATGAAGAATCATCTGGTGAGCAAATGGAAATAATTCATGAGGATTGGGGAATTTTGCAACATGCAAACACTTTTAATACCACAACATCCAGTCTACTTGCTTTAGATGAAAGTGATAATGTAGGGTTAGCAAGTGACAATGATGGCAGCTGCAGTATATCAGGCTTTTTGTCATCAGCCATTGAGAAAATACATGAAGAAGAGGACATTGAAATGGAGAACTGAACTTTGCTGTGAAGCGAATAAAATGATCTAAATGTAACATTTGATGTGATTTGCTTGGTAAAACATGTTTTTTATTTGTTATGTAAAACAACTAAAAAATGCTTTAATTACTTATTAACATAACTGGTGCACTAAAGGGCTGTCTAAAAAGTATGTATGCTCTAAATACCCCAATTTTGGACACCCTGTTCCATTTTACATCAATTTGCAGTACCTACTCCTCCAAGCCTACATATGGTTTAAGCCATCACCCCCCTCCAAAAAAATTTGAATTAAACGTTAAAGGTACCTCGATACTATTTTGTTTCAGAGGGTTTGCATGTAGGCCGGGTCTTTATTGTTAAGCAAAAGTTGGCAATATCACAAGCATTCAGGCACATTGCATGTGTGGTGATGGTTGTGTTATTTGCATTATTTTTCAATACTTTTTTATTCTGACAGGTGGTGGCTGGCTAATGGAAAATAGGGAAAAATTTTAAGATATGCAAAAATATTTATGAGGATGAGCCTCCCTTGCCCTACAGCTCCATAACACCTTGCAATTAGTAAGATCAACCCTAAATGCAAACAAATTTGTTAAATAAACCAAAACAGATACAAATTATGCAACATGTTCTCTTGTTTTATATATATAATATAATTATCTTGGACACTTTTTTTGCAAAACTTTCTTTTTGTGCTCATTAATCCATGCGAACATGGCATGCATGTCAAATCCATCCAAGATACTGTCATTAACATTACAAAAGTGCTTGTATTTTCGGCCATTCTTATGTGTCAATGCATCATGTTCAACTAGCTCATTAACAACTTTGTGCAAATCTGCTTTTTCACAGCGGCGCTTATGTTCTCCTGATCGCTTTTTGAAAAATATTTGCTGGTCAAATCTGTCAAGCACATCTTTGTTGACCCTTAATGCCTTTATATATCTATTCAGACATTGCTGATTGGTTGCATTTGGGCCTAGGTTTTGCATCAGTGTTTTTATCAGCTTGTTGTGATGTTCAAGTGCAAGGTCCAAGGGTATGTTTCCACCTGGTCCATTTTTGTTTTTAAAAAATCTGTTCCATTTAAGCTCGTGTGCAGCCTTTGGAGTCAGAAGTGCATTCACCTGACATAGCAAATAAAATGCCTCAAGTGCATATTTGGTGCTTCCTTGCCCATCAAAACGTAAATATGGTAGAAAGAACTTCCAGCATCTGACAATTCTTTCCCCGTCACCTTCAGAAATGGCATCAAAGAAATTTTGGATCAGCATCCCAACCTCCAACAAAGCCAGCTGATAGTTAAGCATATCATCTCTGTTCTCATCTACTGCCCCTGAACTTTTGGAGGGTTGCACAGAATGTGTCATTCCATGAGTAGCTTCATGCTCCCTTCTTGCCTTGCCATCATATTTAAAAACTTTGCCACATCCAGAAAAACGACACTGGAAATGCTTCTGTGCTTTTTGCTTCTCATGTTCATTTTCAGCCTCAACTTTATTCAAGATGTGTTCCACCTTTTCAGTTCTCAAAATAAACTTGTCAACTATTTCTGATGCCAAAGAGTGAAGATTATTCCTTTTTTCTTCTGTAGTTGACCTTTCATTGGCTTGCATCATATGCTGCAGGGGCAAATCATCAACAGATCTTAGATCCAACAGTTTTAATGCTCCAGCAATCACACGTGCCTTGACTGCCAAATTAAGAAACTTCTTTGATTGGTTTACTCGATGTTTAACATCTGTTGACACATTTCTTCTATCAACTAGGTTTCTGTCACAATATAATGTGCATTTATCACTTGCTGATTGTGGATGATAGAATGCCTCATATATGAGCTGCAGAAAAATTCAACACAAATTTTAATAAATAGATATTTCAGGAACTAAATTATACATCGTATGAGAAGCTCTTTCCAAACCTGAAAGAGACTATTAAGGTTTATGTAGCATGATTTTGAGCCTGGCTGAATTTCAAGGTCATTTTGTAAGATTGAAAATACAGAATGCAGATTTCAATAACTAAATATATCAAAAGAAAGGTCTTAAGGAATATATATATATATAGAGGAATATATTAAAATAAGGAGAGATTAGATATACTAAAATAAGAACTCCCCTTTACCATAAGTATTTGTCTCACCCTATTTTAATCCATTCTGATGGTTTCAACATAAAACTCTAATTACCAATAATCACCTCTAAGAACTTTATTCCACCATGAAAGTCAGCAATCTCAAAATGAAGACCTTCTCTACGCTCCTCAGATGTGAATCCATTTGAGACATCCATCAAACCATTTACTCCTCTCTCTACCGTCAATTGATCACCCACAATTGCCTGGCTGCTAAAATGCTTCTCTCCTTGAACTTGATAACATGGCACATATTGGTGTACAGTCTCAAGAATTTTCCCCATTCCATCACAAGTGTTCTCGTTTGCATAAATTATTCCAAGGTAGGTCTTGAAAAAATAAAAATCAATGAACAATAATTAAGGTCATACAACCCTCTAAATGTGTCAATTTTGGTCCCTCCCTTTCTCAATCATACATACTAAGCAGGCCTTGCTCTAAGCAAAATGAAGGTGCTCCATAAAAAGAGCCCCTTAGAAACTCTAGGCGCTCTATTTCGCACCTTTAAATAAAATATCCTTGAGAGCAACTTTCAAGAGCTTTGGAAGATAGAGGGCTACATATTGAAAGCTTTGGAAGAGTGTTAAATAAGAAGTTCAATGGTGATACCAAAAGCACCATAATATTAAATAACAAAACGTGCAGCAAACACTTTGTTAATGATAGTGTTCAAACTATTATGGCTTATTTTTCAGCTGAAAGAAGCATTGAAAGCATTGAAAACATTTTAGGCTTTGAAAACAGAATGATATCTTTTATTTCAAGATACTCTCATGTCAAATCTATTTATCTAATCAACAAATTTTCCTTTAAGAAGATTTCATTCAATTTTGTTATTATTATACCCAAAAAATTGTTAAGGACAAGTATTGGGGGAGGCTAGGAACAAATAAAACCTAACTTTCTATAATTTTATCACTTTTAAAATACATATGTGCCTTCTGGCATGTACATGAATATTTAGTTGAAACTGTATCTATTTGACACTGCATTGTATTTGCTTTTAAAGGTATCAGCAGAAAAGACATTATCAAATATTATATTCACATACCGTATTTGTTTTTTGTTTGGTCTTCTCTGTATATCTATGTGGTATATTTCTTGTAACAACACATTGCAAGAACTCCAAACATTTTATTTCATCTGTGATATACCGAGATACCAATGTAATGTAGTTCTCTCTCTGACTTTGGTGTTCACATTTGCTTGGGCTGAATATGCCATTTTCCAATGACATTAAATCCCCTCTAGGTTTTGTATCATCAAGATGACAACCTGAAATTCTATTTTCAGTTGCCATGTGGCTGCAATAATGCACATCATTATCTTTATGCTCTTCAGTCATATCATGGGTAACTTGATGATAATCAATGTTATCCAGAACAATTTTTCTTCCTGTGTCACATCTAATATTTAAAGGTTCTTTGACAACATTAGTTTTCAGCACTACTTCACTTGCTTTTTCCGAAACAATGACTTCTGGTTCACTAATTACTGGGATAGTTTTTAATCTTAATGCCTTGTGTTTGGCAAATGCACTAATTGGTGGCTCAAATGAGCCATTATCGTTCCCGTCTTCAATTGTCTGCAATGACTCTCTTATTCTTTTCACTGCCTTAATTTTATTTTCATTATCGTTTTCTTCTTTTTGTGACAATTTGTGTTTTTCAATACGGCTTACTGTGCTCTTATTTTTCTCTTGTAAGCTGCAACCTTCTCTCATAGTTGTACTTTCTAATCTCTCTGATTCATTTCTAATGATGTCTTTCAGTATTTTGTCATGGACTTTTCCATAAGCCTGAAGTTTTCGATAAAACTGAGTATGTGATGGCATAAGTCTCAGTATCTGAAGTCTGCCCATTATACCCTGGAATAAAGAAATGTACATTATAATAAAAATGGAAACATTTCATTTTCAATTCAACTTAAACTACAATTAAAAATCTCACTATTACAAGGTAATTTGCAATTGGCTAGCCTGGTTTTACAAGAAAAAACTATAACAATTGTAAGGTAAAAGAAAAAACTGAGAAAAAAATAAAACAAAATAATAATAATAGCATATATAATAAAAATAACTTACCAAAAAACCACAGTGTTTTAGGATAATTGACAATATCAGCTGGAATGCATTCATTTGTTGGGATCGATTTCGAAGCAATATGGATGCTGCCACACAAACAGCATTAATCCAATTCTCATCATCACCTTTCTTTTCTTTACAAATTGATGCTGCCATCATGATTGTCTTCGTAATTGGGGCATGCTCATCAAGTTCTTTGCTGAGCATTTCAAAGGAGAATGAAGCAATATCTTCAGGTCCTGTTCTTCTAAGACAACTGGGTTCTGATTTTCGGCACATCTGGATGCACTCCTTGTTGATTTCCCCAGCTATTTCCTTTACCAGGTCTTTTCTAATAGGTTTACACCTCCATATTGATCTGGCAATTTGCGATAATGTTCCTCTGCAGAGCATTTTTCCAATAGAAGCTAGACCCCCTTCAAGTGACTTTTGCTTTGTTTTTGAAGGCCTTTGGACTGTGATTGTGACTCTAGTGCTGCCCCCCAGTGCAGTTGCATTGCAACTACTACTAGGCCCTGATACTGCACCTGCATTTTCTGGAACAAGAACATTTGTTGCTTTTTTTGGCGTGCTACTTCTCACTGCAAATGACCCCTCGCCTTTCTCTGCGAGATAAGTTTCCTCAAAAGCTGTCGTACGCACATTAACCAGGGCGTCCAATGCTTTTTCCAGATCCCACAGCTGTTGTTTCAGATTTTTGTGCTTCTTAACCAACGCTAAACAACTTCGACATATGTAATCCGAAGTAAGATGAACTTTTAATGGCAGATTGTTCAAATCGTCAATTATTCTTGTCTTCCCAACTATAAGATTTCGGTCTTGAGGTTTGCCAAGCTCATTCAAACAAACAGTACAAACGTCGATCTCCGTTGCGGCCGCCATTAAGTTTAGGTCAACAATGCGGTGAGCAGCGCTGAGCGCATAAATTATCATGTTAGTTCCCAAGCCTTTGCATATTTTAAGGCCAAACAGAACAAGCTTCGGGTCAATACACCACTTCGACGGACCGCGGCCTCGTTTTGTTCCGGGGACTGGGCCGAGTTTTGGGGTGAAAGATTTGGCTTCGTATGTGAATACCGATGAAAACGGTGTGCTGTACTTGATCATCGAGAGATTTTTCTTCGTTTTCAACCACCGTTTTCATTCGTAATTTGCTCTTACTTGCTGATTTGTGATTTGTTATCTTTGGAAGAGTTTTTTGAAAACTATTTTGAGTACGAAGCTCTGACAATTCACAGAATTGAAAGAAGTTTAGGCCACCGCGGGTCACAAAATGGTTAACGGGAATTGCGCTGTGGTTGGCTGCAAAAACAGCAACTACAGGCTGAAATCATGGAAGAAGAAGCAATGTGAAGAGCATGCTGGTGTTCTACACGAAGCCTGCTCGTGCGTCCGACCTTTTACTTTGCATAGATTTCCAAGTGAGAAGATGAATACCCAAATTAGGCAGGAGTGGATTAGAAAGATGAACAGGGTGACAAGCAAAAACAAGCCTTGGACTCCTGGTCAAAGTGACATGGTCTGTTCTCAACACTTTGTGGATGGCTGCCCAACTCTTGCAAACCCAATTCCAACATTACATCTTGGATATGAAGCTACCAGGAAAAAGCCAAGAAGAGCTTTGATTCGTGTTGAAACTGAGAAAAAACCTGCAATCTCAGAAGCTCCTACGCATCCTGAGGCAGATATGGACTTTGTCATGAAGGAAGATGTTTCTGCTAGAGAAACCGCATCCTGCACAAATTGTTATGATGCAAATTTGAAAGTTTCATCACTTCAGGATGAGCTTGAATCCTTGAAAACTGATAACAAAAGGCTGCAACAGAAGGTAAATGCGCTCTCAAACCAGTTATTGCATGAGAAGAATAGAGGAAAGCCATTTTCATGCAAAGATATCAAGTCAGATGCAAAAATGAAGTTTTATACTGGGATACAAACTCTGGCAATATTCAACGTAATTTTTGATTTAATTAAGCCTTGCCTGTCATCGATGGTTTATTGGAGAGGATATAATAACACTGTTTCCCCATCAAAGTATATCAGTCACAAGAAGAAAAGAGATCAAAAAGTACCCGTAAAGGACCAGTTTTTACTTGTGCTAATGCGATTAAGACTTGGATTAATGAATGAGGATTTAGCTGACAGATTTATGATTTCTCCTTCAGTATGCTCAAACATATTTACAACATGGATCAAGATGCTTGGACCACTACTTGGAAATGCATTAGTTGTCTGGTTACCAAGGGATATTATTCAGAATAAGCTTCCAGATGTTTTCAGAAGTGTTAGCCCCAAAACAAAATGTATAATTGATTGTACTGAAATATTCATAGAGAGATCAAAGTCATTGGATGTTCAAGCCAGTACTTGGTCAGATTATAAGAAACATAACACCATAAAAGTTCTTGTTGCAATTTCCCCTCATGGTTATATTATGTATTTGTCTGACAGCTATGGTGGTAGAACCTCTGATCAATACATTTGTTCAAATAGTGGATTTTACAAACTTTTGGATCCTGGTGATGAAGTAATGGCAGATGGGGGGTTTCAGATTAAGGAGGATTTATTGCATTATTATTGTTCATTGAATGTTCCCCCAGGAGCAAGAGCAAAATCCCAAATGACTGCTGCTGAGTGTAGGCAGACAAAGATGGTGGCAAACTTAAGGATACATGTGGAAAGGGCTATCAACAGAATTAAAGAGTTCAAACTGCTAAAGAACACAATGCCCATAAATATTTTACCACTTGCTGATAATATTATAAAAGTGTGTGCTGCTTTATGTAATATTCAGCCTCCTTTAATTAGAAATGCATGTAAATACAAGTGAACTTTGAACTGAGAGACATGAGCAAGTTATTCCAAAAGTGTTATCCAAGAGGCTTTGCCAATTGTGAGAAATAATTTGTTTCTTTGTTTATTTGATCCTTTTTACTAATTAAAAAAAATTAGTTTTGTGAGAAGCTGTAGAGATAACAAATGTTGCCACAAACACATGGGAAAATAATATAAACTAAACCAAGCCAAAATTTTCTGAAGGTAAGAGACAAATAGGGGGAAGTCACAAGATTCCCAGAAATTTCACAAATTTTTAAATGAAAGTCCATATCTTTATATCTAAATTTTTTTGCCTCCAGAGCCCTTTCTCTCAGGATGTCAATTTTTTATGTTGACCAGTAAAAGATGAAGGAAAAATAGTCTGCTTTTATGAAACATAAGTATGTAAGATAAAATAAAAATGCAATATTGATAAATAAATCAACAAACTCTAGTGGAAGATTTAAACAAATCCAATGTAGAGATTAATCCATCAATTACCAGTTATAATGCCTCACAGCCTTTATTTGAGTATAACTAGACCTATGTTGGTACATTTCAATATCCATCTTTATTGATCTTTGTTTTTTCCTATTTGTGATGGTAAAGTTTCTTGTGTCAAAGCAATTTCAAAAATCAGAATGTTCACATTGATTCATTGTAAGAACAATTCCCCCTAATATATTGTTTGATGACAAAATTCATTGTGGGGCATCAAAAGAATATAAATAACATATATAATAGCCATGTTAAGTCTGTTTATCATAATAAAAGGTCAAATTTATGTACTTCCTTTACTACAAATAATATGAGGAACATAAAAGTTAACATAAAATTCTTTCAGAGTGTTTTTCATCTTCAACCAACTTGGTTCATCAAAAACAAGTTTCTCAACGAAACTGCCATGGGGTGTCCAGACATAGAAATAACAGGCAGATATATCAGCTGAGGCCATCTGTACTTGGCACTGAGTAAAATATTTGTGTTTCCTGTTCAGAACAATATCCTCCTCATTCTTCCTTAAAAATGGCATCTCAACTGTAGGGTCTATAGGAGTTGTATGTCTGATTGAAAAAGGACACTTGACTTCTAAACATGCTTTCCCACAACAAGAACATTCAATAATTCGGTCTGGACTACCACCTATGAATGGAAGCTCTTTGTAAAGAAACAAACCACAATTAGTAACTGTCACATCTTTGTGATTCTTTTTAAAACTTTGAATGAAGCAATCTACTGCATCATTTTCCATGCATCTCCCATATCGCAGAGCTGGCAAATCTGGATCTACAAAGTCTTTCCCTGAAATCTTATTAAAAATAGAAGTGAGGTCTATTTCAGATTTGGATGAAGATGCTTTTTGCAAGGTGCTGAACCTTGTTTTAACATCATGAGCTTTTGAAGCAGTGATGACATGCCTTCTAAATATGTTCCAGCTAGGGTTCTGATTTTGGCCTCTGGTCAATTCCTCAACAGCTTTTACATTTTCCACAGTGAAATATTCAGACACCTTTGCCAAGAAGTTTTCTTGGCAAGTTGAATCAGCAATAATAGTTTCAAGGGAATCAACTTGAAAAGCATAAGGTTCCATGGATGTTGCACAAGAGTTTTCTGTAGGTGTAGCTGTGAACAAGATAGAATCTGATTCATTGCACACAGATTTCAAAGCAGCAGCCACATCATTTAAATTAAGTTTGTAGTTACTTTTAGCGATTGGGTTAAAGTTTCGCTTCCGGGCCGAATTTAATTCAACCAGCTTTTTCCCTCGCTTGTTTATACTATCTCTCTTTAGCTTCAAGTCTTTCACTTTTACAGGTTCAACAGCTTTAGTATTGGGTAGCCATTGGCATGCTGTTGAAGTACAAGATGGGTTATTTAGACCCATTCGAGAAGCTGATTCAATTCGGAAAAGAGCCGCAGCTACATGGTTGCATGTTTGTGACATACCAGCCATACATGTACAATGAGTTGTTATTATTTTGCCTGATTCTTTACTGAGGCAAAGCCACAGCTTGTGAGGAACATCATTTATTCTTTGCGAAGGTCTGCATGTTCCCCTTAGGAGACAAATTTTACTATCTCCATTAATGCCATTAAATTGCAATGGTGCTAGCCATCCTTGAGAGAAGTAACTGTAGGCTTTTGATGTCTTGTAGTCACTAAGATCGGTACTGGCAAGCTCATTTGGGTGGAAGGCAAGAAAATTGAAAATGTCTGGATAGAGAGTAACTGGCCAGTATCGAATACTATCTTCTTCACTTAGCCAGCCATGCGTCAACGTTAGTGGGTCTGGTATTCGGTTTCCAGCAACAAACAACTTTGCTGCGTATTCTTCAGCAATCTCACGCTGGACAGCATCCGCTGATTTTTGCACAGGCACATTGTTTTCAACGGCAACGAAAACTCTTGCCACTAATTCTTCTTTCTTTACCGTTACACGCAATCCACAAAGTCGTAAAAAGTCTTTCAACTCTTCAACTTTTAGTCCAGAAATCCTGGCCAAATCCATTACGATGAGTAGGCCACTACAACAGCACAACGAAATTTTCTGTGAATTGTCAGAGCTTCGTACTCAAAATAGTTTTCAAAAAACTCTTCCAAAGATAACAAATCAGCAAGTAAGAGCAAATTACGAATGAAAGCGGTGCTTGAAAACGAAGAAAAATCTCTCGACGATCAAGTACAGCACACCGTTTTCATCGGTATTCACATACGAAGCCAAATCTTTCAAATCTTTCACCCCAAAACTCGGCCCAGTCCCCGGAACAAAACGAGGCCGCGGTCCGTCGAAGTGGTGTATTCTGAATGCTTTCTGTCCCCGTTTATTAGCCTCTGCCTGAAAATGTTCAAGTCTCAAAAACATTCATAATTGTCAGCTTCAGTAGACAAAAGAAAATTGGAACCCACTACCTGTAGCTCTTTCTACTGATATCATAATATGCTAGCATTTGGTCATTGGTGTCAACTCCCCCTATAAATTGCCGATAAACTGTGATTGCTGGAGGGCATATTCCTTCCACCTTTTCTGCACTTTCTTTCTGGGACTTTCTGATTTTGTCATTTGGGCCAGGTGTTGCAGGGCACATGGTACTGATCAACATGACATCTTTTGTATCCTTCCATTTCACTGTCACAGTTTGTGGGTCTTTCATCCTCCAGATAATATCCCATTGTGCCACCTTAGCTTCTCTGACTTCATAAGGTATACTTTTTCTGTTATCCCGAAAAGCCGGGTTGCACAATCACTTTTTACCATCACTTTTTTATATTGGACCAACATGCTGAAAAATGATCGTGTAACATACTAAAATTTTCCATTTTCACTGCGGAATTTAATGCGCTTATCAGGTGTTAACCCTATCCAGACTAGGCTTTTTGAAACTTTCGGGAGACTAGGGGGGGGGGCACAAAGTGCCCCCCCTCCGTAATTTCTTTGTTCCTATAGCTAGGACAATGAACTTTGTTTGGATGGTACTCTTATCTTTTCTCCACATTTTAGTATTATTGTTCAATTTTCAAGTCACATGGTTTCACGATGACGTCATCATAATGGTGGCCGGGTGAAGCAAAAATTTAGAAAATTTTAGAAAATCTTAAAATATTCATTAATTCCAAAGCATCGGGCTAAGATATTAGGATAAGCTAATTTGATGCATTTTCTAATAGAAACAAGAAGATTGACACAATTTTAATGTTACTTCTCAAAATTATTAACGTTCCAAACAAAAGAACTCAACATATTTTGTATTTGGCTATAGTTTTTTCTATATAACTAAATGATCGATACAACCAAATGTCATGTTTGAGTTCATTTTTAATGCCTTAGCAGACAAATTATTCTAAACTTGCAGTTTTATTAATGTAATACCTATAAATCTGTCAACAAATGTGTGCGCATGCGCAGCAGAAAAATCATAGAAAAGGATGTTGAATTTGAATTTTCTGGTCAGAATCATGAAAAGACCACAAATTAATGCCTAGATACTAATTTTCATTAATATATCTACTTTTGTTGCGAATCCGTGGCAGATTGAACTATTTTTTTACTTGACTAGGTTTGAAAACGCCCCTACACAACCCCCTGATTAATGATAAAAAAATTATCTTTTTATATGAACATGTGTCAGATAGGTTAAAACTAAAAGTCAGGAGGTCTGAGGGGTATTGCTTTCAAACTCCTGAAGTTATGAAAGAAAAACCAACTAGGGGGGCACTTTGTGCCCCCCCCCCCCTAGTCTGGATAGGGTTAATCCTTTATCATTGGAAATTTTACTCTGAACGAAAGCAGAGTTCATCAATTGAGAAATTGAGTTCATAAATTTTTTTCAAAGGCGGATACAAATTCTTACGTCACTGTTCCTGGTTGTTCTGATTCCTGTTTGTGATTGTTGCAAGTTTGGATTAGGATACTGTAAGCGCATTTTGTTCCTGTTTCTTTGTTTTGCATTTCTCTGCCATTCCGCAAAGATAGTATTAAATGACCAGGCATGTTTTCTGAATACTAGTTCTTCGAGACGATCTAGTTGTTCATGCTCTCAGCTCGAAAGATATTCAAGAAGTCTTTAAAATTTAAAGAAATGGATGCAAGACAAATCAGTTTTCAAGAGTTTCTATATCAACATGGGCTAAACGGAAGTTTTAAGTATTCTTCAAGCGCTAGTTCAAGATACGTATTTAATTGCAGAGTCGTGCTCAAAAAGAAACATCTTCCAAGGTCAACATCACAATTTTCAATTCCGAGACTTACATTCTGTTAACTCTAGTCTCAAACTCTCTACTCTAAGTCAAATCACACGTGCATATATACGTTTTACAATAAGTATAAAAATAGCGTAACCAATAGAAATTAAGAAAAACAATCGTCAAACCAATCAGATTTTACCAAAACATGAAAAGTTTAATCTCAAGAAAAGAAAAATTTCATGAAAAGAAAAACAATAGATTGATGCCAATACTCAATACCTGTGAAGCTTGAATCTTGAGTCAGTTTCCTAACGACTCTTGAAACGAGGTTATTAGGTGCATTATGCTCAAAGTCATGTGTAAAGAAAATACCTTGAGTCACAAAGCTAAAGCCGATAAGCTCAAATTAAATGAATAAACTATTGTTAACTACATCCATACAAAAATAATAATTGCTGCGCGTGGAGTTCAAAGATACTGTGGGCAATGGGTGCATGGGGTTTTCCCCGACATTCCCCCCTCCTTGACCCAGGTTATGGGTTCAAGCATAAGCATAGCACGCCAACGCACATACAGGGCCGCAGCACAAGTGGGTCTCCCTTCTGACTTATCACTACCCTTCACACCATCCTCTTTCAATTCATCATTCGCCTTCAACATAGATGCATCTTCCCTCTCTTCTTTGGCATTGTCTCTAACTGAAATTTCAAGTGGAATTAGTTGTTGTAAGAGTTTCTGGCTTGCCCCTACCTGTTTTCCAAACTACGGCTCCTCTTACTTTTCCATCCCTTCCCATCAGTAACTCCTCAATGATGGCTGTTTTCCACTGTCCGCGTTTTATGTTGTCCTCCTGCAGCAAAACCAGATCTCCTAACTTCACTTGTAAATCAGCGCTCAGTTTCAGCATATGGATTTACCTCAGGTCTGTTAAGTATTCCCTCTGCCATCTACTCCAAAAATGAGATAGCCTTCTAGTAACATACAAAAATTGTTTCGTTAATTTATCTTTAATATCTTCCTCATCAGAAATTGGATCGATTCCCTCTGAAAAGATGACAATCTATAACCATAAATAAGTTGAGATGGTGTTAAGGTAGTTTCTAAGTCATCATATAGATAAGTTAGATGCCTAGAATTCAAAATATTTTCAACCTCTGTTAATACTGTCTGTAGTTCATCAAATGATAATCTAGCATTCTTTAAGACCTTTCTTAGACAACGCTTCACGGATCCTACCATCCGCTCCGCCCAAAAGTATCCTGCCCACCACGGCAAAAGAGGTAAATTGAATTTCCATTTGATCCTTCTATGCACTAAATATTCAACAAACATATGATCCTTGGCAAGTTTGTTGAGCAGTTATTTGCAGCCTTAAAGGTTTTAGCATTATCCGTGTTCATGAGTCTCGGTGTCCCTCTTCTAGAGCAAAATCTTTGAAAACCACTCATGAATGTTAATGTATTTAAATCATCAATCAATTCTAAATGAATAGCTATAGTTATGCAGCATGTGAACAGAACTATATATGCCTTCCACATTCCCCCTGGCCTGTTTTAAGAAACAAGGGTCCTGCAAAGTCTATCCCTGTGTTGCTAAAGGGTAAAGATTTAATAACTCTAAAATCTGGCAGTGGAGCTGTATTAGGTGCAGCCAGCGCCTTTGCATCAAACCATTTACATGTTAAGCATCTATTTAATACTCTCTTAACTTGTTGTCTACCTCTTGGTACCCAAAACCTAGATCTGAGTTCTGCAAGGGTTGAGCGAAGTTTGTTATGAAATACCCTTTTGTAGCAATCTTCAATCACAAGATCAGTAAATCTATGATCCCTAGGTAAGATTATCGGGTACTTACTACCTATATCTAAATCTGCATTTTTTAACCGACCCTCGCATACTAAAACACCAGATTGATCGACTATGCAAAGTTGCAGTTACAATGCTTAAAAATCTTGCCTATTTCTCAAAGCCTCCTGCACATCCTTAATCCATACATGCTCTGCAGCTTCTATCTCCTCTGTACTCAAATTTCCAATGTTTAGGACTTTATTCATACTCCTTCCCCTTAAGTTATTTATAAACCTCAACACGTAAGCGATCACTCTTAAAAGTTTACCAAGAGTTCCATGTCGTTCTACATCTACTATACCACCCACTCCAACTCTATCTGTGTTAGTCGTTAACAATGATGTAGCATTCTTCCTTTTTTCTACTTCAATATCTGCAGAGTCTACTGATGGTGAAAACTTAGGCCACTTACTTTCATACTCACAAAGCCAAGTGGGGCCCTCCCACCATAATCTGGAATTCTTGAGGAGCCTAGCGGAGACTCCCCGGGAACCCAAATCTGCAGGGTTGTCTGTGCCAGCAACATGAGCCCAATCTTCTTTGCTGGTTAATGAGAGAATCTCGTTAACTCAGTGCTGGACAAACTGTTTCCATTCCCCATTATTGTATATCCAAAACAGGGCTGTCTTACTGTCCAGCCAATATTTTACCTTATCAAACTGAATCTGTGGGCCTAATGCATTCTCAACTGCATCCATTAATGTGGCTAATACTCGAGCAGACTTTAATTCTAGACGGGGTATGGACAATGGTTTCAAAGGTGCAACCCTGGTCTTGGCACTTAACAATTTAGTATATGTCCCTTGTTCAGTCACACAAACGAGATAAACCATGGCACAATAGGCTTATTGTGAGGTTTGTAAGACGTGGGCTGCAAAGATGAGCTTGAACTTGGTTTTATCTCATTTTCATAAACATAACAACTATTTACATTATTAAAGCAATAACTCAAAACTCTGTTGTAAACTCCATAACTCGCGAACTCGACTCGACTCAACTCGTGAACTCAAGTAACTCAAAACTGCCACACCTATCTCGCATTAGCACGAAAACGAGGTTGTGACGTACGCATTATAACACACTCCCCCGGTTTGATTCATGACATGATCAAACCCAAAGTAACTAAAGATATTAGTATTGACTATACTTGATTACACATAACAAAATCAGAACAATAACAAAGTTAAA